TGTGACCTGGAAGTTGTGTTGGAGGTTTCAGGGCAACTGTGGCTACAGTTCCTGTGGTTTAACTTCAGCTTCAGTGAAAAGTAAAGTAGATCATGAAGCAGAGGGGGAAATATGAAATGAGTTTCTCTTCCTTTAGTCCTGCTTTAATCCCAGTTTAATCTCGGTTCAGCCCTGGTTTAGTTGTGGTCCAGCCCTGTCTTGGTTTAATGTTGGTTTAGTTCTGGTTTAGTACATAGACATGTATCTCTATGGCTGAATGTTCAACAGTTACTATATTGACAAACTTGCTAAATGTAATTTCACTGTTTGAACATCATTTAGTATAGTCCTGGTTTAGACCTTGTATAGGTCTGTTTTAGTCTTGTTTTAGTTCTGGTCTAATGCCAATTCTTAGTCCTGGTTCAGTACCTATCCATATGCGAGCACAGTGGCGTTGCAGTCCTGATTCAGTCCTAGTGTAGCCCTGGTCTAATTCTGGTTTAGTCCCAGTACCTGTCCGTATGCGAGCACAGTGGCGTTGTACCCCTGCAGACATCCCTCCACCAGCTTGTGTGTGGCGCTGTGGTACACCTGCTCCTGTGTGGCGTCCATGTCGAACACAAGGTCAAAGGTGAAGGCACGGTCCGAGCCTAACACCACCTGTGGTTCAGACGGTGTCACTGCAGTGCACACGTGGCAGCCCTCCACACGCTCCCGGGGCAGCTGGGGGCGGATCCTAAGAGAGGGAGAAGTCAGAGTTCGTCAGATCCCCTCCCCATGGGGTCTTATTCAGTGTAAAAGCTGCTAACCCTGTAATAATCATGTTCTACGTTTAAGCAAAAATAATGTATAGGCTAGAATATAAAGACAGTTTTGTTATGAGCATCTGGCGACATCTTGTGGTCAGAATGAGAACTACACTGACAACAACTTTTCTCCCCAAACTGCCATTGAGCTGATGTACAACTATGATAAATATTTACCACATGAAGTATCCCACCAAACCAAGACAGAATTAGAAAACTATATTAATCTGTAAAATGTAATTTAAAGTTGGAGGTCACAGAGAGACACAGGGAAAACATGCACCACACACTCCACACTTCACACTTGAAGCGTACACAGGTGGGATGGTTTAAAGGTGGACAGCGTAACATTTCTAATGGAGGGTCTGCCACTTGCTTGTCTCCATGGAAGTGTTATTGGTTTCTGTAGAATGTTCCACAGTATAGATTAAACCTTATAGCACTACACTACATTACAATACAGATCTCTGGAGAGTTGCCCCATTCACACAAGGAATGATTGTATTTTTGAGCAATGCTATATGATATATATGAGATGTTTAATGTCATACTATGGAACATTCCAGGCAAAGCAATAACATCTCCATGGAGACAAGTACCAACACCGATATTTTGTTCTGCATTACAGTTTGCTCTCAGCATCAGATTTGCCTTTTTGAAAAGAGTCATGAGGAACTATGTAAATACAAGAGACGTTTGGGGTGGCAGTTCGTAGAGCATTCGCCCACTGATCTAAAGGTTGGCGGTTCGAATCCAGCTCTCAACATAAACATCACAGGTTGAGCGGTCAAATCTACTAACCCACAGGTTGACTGGTGTGATTCCAGCTCCCACAGATGAATGCTGTCGTCGTGTCCTTGGGCAAGACACTTAACCCACCTTGCCCACAGTGTCTGTGTACACTGGTGTGTGTGAATGGGTGAATGGTTCCTTGTTGTAAAGTGCTTTGAGTGCCTTGAAGGTGGAAAAGCGCTATAGAAAAATGTGACCATTTACCATTAGGCAAAAGATACAGCTGCATATTTACACAGTCATATAACTAACTCTTTTAGGCCAGATAAATACACATTTTTACAACTTCATTATTATTAGCTTAATACATATTTGATCGATAATTCGTCACAACAGCAACACAAATATCGGATATTAGTAATGGTTCAAAATAAGTAAATCTATAATCGGACCATAAAACCCAAGACCTGCAACGCTGTGAGGCTTAAATGCTAAACACTCTGCCGCTATACTGCAAATGTGGAAGAGAGAGAAGGATAGAAAATAAGGGAGGGGGGGGAGAGACAGAGAGAGAGACAGAGAGAGAGAGAGAGACAGAGAGAGAGAGAGTGAGAGTGAGAGCGAGAGCGAGAGTTGATGTGGTCTAAATAAATCTGCTGAACTGAATCTGGATTAAGAGTGAAAGTGTGTCAGTGGAACAAGTGAGTGAATTTAGAATGACAAACTGTCAATGAGAGAAACAAGGAGCAGAGGAAAGGGTCAGAGGAGCAGAGGATGAGCAAAGGATGCAGTGGAGAGGAGCAGAGGAGAGGATTAGATGGAGCAGAGGATGCAGTGGAGAGGAGCAAAGGGTGCAGAAGAGGAGCAGATGTGGAGTTTCTTTGTTGAGCTGGACAAAAGCGTGTACAGGAGCAGACAGTGTTCCTCTGTGTGAGAGACGAACCAATCGAATCATGTCCTGTTGTTTTATTCATTCAGTAGTTCCTCTCAGATCTCTCGGTTTATACTCCATCTATTTTGGATTATGTGAAATTAAGATTTTAAACTTTCACATAGAGCAGGTGAAAACCAGTCAAAAACTGAGTACTTTTGAATCAATCAATTCCCGTTTTCATCTCCACTAGTACAGCAATATCAGTTTCTTTTATTAAGTTGTTTTATGATCTACAGCTGTTGATTACAAACCATTTCAAAGCTTTTACATACACCCATCTGTGGATTATACAGTGGTATACAAAATGGTTTCCATGGAGTTGAGGGATGGAGCAGAGACAGAGAGGTTTAATCTGATTTGAGTCTGAGAGACAAGACGGCAACTTCATCTTACCAAATACACCAGGACTAAAACAGCACTGAACTAGGACTAAAGCAGGACTGAAGCAGGATTAAAGCAGGACTGAACCAGGACTAAACCAGCAATAAATCAGGACTTAACCATGTCTGACCCAGGTCTAAACCAGGACTTCAGGTCTTGTTACAGGTGTTTCTGTAACAGTTAAGTCCAGTCCAGTCCAGTATCTAAAAGAGTCTGGGCTAAATCTGGACCAGTTTTAAATAGTAACTGGTTTTAAATAAGTGCTCTACATTCAGAGACACACAGAGCTCAGACCAGGACTAGACCAGGTCCAGGGGAGGGCATCTGACACACACAAAGGGGAAAAGGATGATGGGAAAGCATCGAACACACAGGGATATAAAAGGATGGGAGGGCATCTTACATAAAGGATATAAGTGGATGAGAGGGTATCTGACACAGAAAGCTGACTCAAGGAATATGTTATTTTTAGAGTGTAGTAATAGCCACCATTTTGGTTCCCTGGCTCCTCTTTGACCTTTGACCTCTGACACTCTGTAATTTAACACAACCTCAGAGTACAAGTACACACTACTGTAGGAGTACAGTAGTAGTACTCTGGCCATCTTCTCTGTCAGTATACATAAACTAAAGTTTTTTTTGTTTGTTTTTTTCCACAACAACTTCAGAAAGTTGTGTCATTATTCAAGCCCAAAGATGGGCTTGAATAATGGCAACTAATTTCCACTGGTGTCAGTTGAAAGGACTTTAAGACTTTAAGATTAATATGAAACGTTTGTGGAACCAGTCCAAAAGAAATTTGTTGATCATAAATTTGAAGATTTATTTCAAAAACAAACTGATTTTCCCATTGAGTTATATAGACTCATGCCCTCCATCTGAAATTATGACATTGTCACATTAAAACATGGACTAAACCTGGATTATATGATTAAACCTGACTCAATCTTGTTAAACCTTGACCATGTTTTAAGATCAATAAAACCAGAGTCTTTTCATTTCATAAGGACCAATCCTTGCCAAACCAGGACTAAACCAGGACTGAACCAGGACCGATCCAAGATTAAACTATGGACTAAAAAACTCCGGTGATCTCTTAAAAGTTCCTTTTGTAATTCCAATCTGTTATGAAACTAAAAAGTCCCTGTGTGTCAGATGCCCTCCCTGTTCCTCCATGAGGTCATATTCTGTGTAACTCTTTATTCTGTAGTTAAGACAAACATGTTCTTAAAGTTCAAGTATTTCTCTAAAACTCTTGCTACTCTTTGATTATTTCTGCTGTGTGGCACATTTTGACTATAGATTTCTGAACCACGAGTTGTTTTTGTACATTTCTGTTTAGAGTAATCCTCTGAATGCTTAAATCTGCATTTTAAAGAAGGATTAAATGAGCTATTCTAAACAGAAAAATCACTGAAATCTGAACTTTAAACTAATCCAAGAATGCATACATTTCAGAACACAGAATGAGACACCATGGAGACACAGCAAGGACATCTGACACACAGTGAGGGCATCTGACATCTAGTTCTCACAGAACATAAATCTAAATATTTGCAGAATTAATGAGTTGTGATTTGCCATTGCATAAAACATATGCTCTTTGTGTTTGCCTCTGCCATTTTAGTCAGTTAAGGTTTAATTTATTTATTTGTGTTCTCTTTAAATGTTTTATATATTATAAAATGTTTTTTTTCTAATGTTTTCATTGCATTTATCTTTTTTATGGTCTTTTTAGAGGCAGGTGCAGCAGAGGGCCCTGGCGGCACTCCAGGATGACATCATCACCACGAGACACAGAGAGACGCAGCAAAAAGTGACTGACGACGATCAATGTGAAAATACTGAGAAGACAGGATCAAGATAATCCAGTCTCAATCAGGGCTGGACCAGGGCTAAATTAGGACTAGACCAGGACAAAACCAGGACTAAAACATAACTGAACCAGGACTAAACCAGGACTAAAAAGAACTAAAAGGAGGCAGAAGTCAAGACTAAAAATTCAAAACCGAACCAGGACTAAGACAGAAATAAACCAAGTCTTAACTTGGTCTAAACAAGTCCTGAAAGACTGGATTCTTGCAGTGGTTTCACAAACAGAAACTTATCATTAAAATTCAAAAATAGGTTTGTGGAATTTTTTTTCAGTGATAGGAGCAAAACAAACAAATATGTAATTAAACAGAAATCTGAGTTATGGACTACTCTAAACCTAGACTAGGGACTAGACAAGGACTAAACTGAGATTACAACTAAACAAGGAACTGTACTAGAAACTGAATCCAGACTAAAACAGGACATGATGAGGGCTACATTTGGACTAAACTGGTACAAAACCACATTAGGATTTTTACCTGGGTCTAATCCAGGACTAAAGCAGAACTAAAGGATTTAACAAGATGCACACAGCATGAAAACCACCAGTTTAATTTGTTTACTGTGCTCCATCTTGTTATGACAATCTGTCTCTTCTCCTCTATCACTCCCTCTCTCACCCATCTCCTCCATCCCTCCCTCTATTCTTTCTCTCTCTCTCTCTCTCTCTCTCTCTAAACCTCCTCCTTTATAATCCTTGTATCAAGCAAAATATGAGCTCTCCACTCAGCACAAAACAGAAGTACAACTACTGCAAACAATGCAGTACTGCAGAAAAGTACTAGTACACAGTCAGCTGGGGAAAAGTACAGAGCTGCAATTTTAGATTTCCAAGATCTGCATTAAAAAGATCAGGAACCAGACCAGTACTAAACCAGTACTGAACCAGGACTATGTCAAAATAAACTTCACAACTCATTGCTGTCTGGCTTCAAAGAAGTGAGTACAAGTCCTGTGTATCTGATCCATCCTTCAGTGTCTAAACTCAGCCTTAAGTGTGTCTGCTGGACTATAGCTGGAGGATTATTGTGCAGAAACCAGACACAGGGAGGACATGCAAACTCCACAGAATGACTCAACATGACCTAGGACTTTCTTGCTGAGAGGATGCGCTAACAACTCTACCACTGCAAGCCCACTAAGCAATGAATGGACCACCAAGTCTAAAACTGGACTAAACCTAAAGAATGGAAGAGATTATATTAGTACAAAATGACTCCTCATACTTGGGTCTGTTTATGTTTTTACAGGTTAATTTAGGCTCATGTTTAAATGTAAGGTTTAAACATGAGCCTAAATTATGTTTAATGCAGGCTCATGTCCTGGTTCTGGTTTGGTTTTAGTGCAGGAACTAGGACTGGACTGGACCAGAACCAAAGCAGGAGGATTAAAGCAGGACTAAACCCAACACTAAAACTAACAAAAAAAATAAAAGAAAAAAGACTAAACCAAGACACTATTAGATTAAATCAGTTAAGCACATTTTGGATTTACATTAAGAATGACTTCTTCAGGAATCAAACTATTAACCCAGTCATCCTAGTAATAACACTGGACAAAACCAGCTCTCAACTGGGATTTTACTCGGACTAAACCAGGTTTAAACCAGGCCCTGAGCTGGAGCCTGGAGCAGGTGTGGGCCTTAGGGTGCCTGTCTGACGTCATGGTGATGTCTGATGTCCAACGTGTGCTCGTGCGTCTCACCTGACGGCCACGCGCACCGAGCTCTCGTCCGCGCTCATGTCTCCGCGTGCACGCAGTGAAAAATAAAAACAAATCTACAGATAAAGTCCCGTTATTCCTGCGAACTGCCGTGTGGAAGCGTCATTCCGTCATGTTCGCGTTTTGGTCGCGCTCCGGAGGCTCCAGCGGGGCGAGGGCACAGCTGAGGCCGGGGACGATGCTCTGTGGGGCGGACACGGAGTCAGGGCGCGCCGCTGTCCTCTGGAGCCGGTGTCCTGGAGCTGTGCGGGGTTGGAGTGATTTGGAGACGCACGCAGGACGCACGGCACGAGGGGAGCAGCCGCAATGCGTAATCACGCCGCGCCCCTCAAAGCGACGGGGTGACGTCATGCCGTGAAGAGGTGCACGAGGAACAGGTGCATCTGAAGTGAACGAGATGTAAATTTATACTTTTTAGCTAACTACTAGGCCATAAACCCATGATAACTGTACGTGGCTGTTATGGCCCTTGTGGCACAATTTGTCACTGTGTTTTAATATTTAATAGTTTTGAAGTCAAAGAAGAAGATGCATTATGGACTGATCTTACTACAATGTGTAACAAAAGTCAGTTTTCACAAACAAAAACAACTCTGAAACAGACCTCACCCCACGGATCTATAATAAGCATCCAGAAATAACATGTGGCCTGTACTGGGTTATACGTGTAAAAATATATTCTTTATTTTCCCTGTTTTTCTTTTAATATAATTTAAATGCTCTATAGAATTAAAAAAGAAAAAAAAAAGCGTCAAGTACACAGACGTATGCTCAGGTCACAGGTGTTTAAGGTGAGAATAATGGCTTCCTCTTTTGGACGTTTAAGGGACAACTTCTGATACGCCTGTTACATTTCCATTCCATTTTGTAACTTTCTGGACTATGCAGCTTGTGTTGGGAATTATAAGGCAAATAAATAAATAAACAAATAAACAAACAGATAAGTAAATAAATAAATACACTTTGTCAGTTCTACCTCACATATTTAACAGGTATTTAACTTTCTAAGTACCGCCAGATCTAAAATGAACTTTATCGGATCTAAATTAGAGCAAAACCAGGTCTAAAATGAAACCAAACCATGGATAAGCAACCAAAATTGCACCTCTAAATAAATATCCAGACTTGAGATACACTGGTCTAAAGTGTTCCACAGTAGGCCTACTGCATTAAACAAATCCCCATTTCTAATTTATGCGATGACATTTAGCTTTCCGAGTACTACCAGATATAAACTTGGACTGTATCTGGTCTAAATCAGAACTAAACCAGGTCTAAAATGAGACTAAACCATGGATTAAGTAGTTCTAAATAATGATGTTCCCAAAGCAGGGCAGGTCTAAATAAACCTGCAGAGGAACATGTACCTCAGTTTGAGAACTGCTACATTATATTAAGACAGATTTAGAACTCATTTAGCGTAATTATAGTCTATTTGATCATATAGAGGTTATGCACTGATGTCATTTTATTTGAAAAATGATCCTCAACATTCTGACTGAGTGGCATTGAAGCAAGTCTATGGGCAGTTTAACAGACACAACTATGTTTCTTAGTTTTTTTTGTGTTTGCTCTTATTTTCTCTTTTTTTTTTTTGTCTATGGAGATTTTTTCACCCTACAATAATTATATCCTCAAAACATAGACTTGCAATGCATCTCCAAAGCTCAAAATGCTCTGTTCCACCTTGTGATGTCATAGTGGTGATTTTCAGGTTAACAGCTAAATTTTTTTTTAACATTTACATTTATTTCAGTAGAGACGTACAATTCCAGAGCTGAAATTATCCAGCTGATTCTAGTGAAGATGTACGGAGTTTAAAAACACAGTGGAGCACTTCTGTATTACCCTAGAAGATGGAAGAGAGTGTTTTGTATTTGAGAGAACAACCTAAATATGAAGCCTTTGTGTATTAAAGATGTGTGAATGAAACAAAACCAACTCCAGGTCTGTTATTGATGGGGAACAATATTATAATGTACAGTAGATTATAAAATAGTGTAAAATAAATAATACATAAGAAAGTGCCCTGTATTCTGTGTGAGGAAATCATATATAGACAATAGTAAACTTCAAACAAAACAGACTTTACAATCAACTTTGGTTTAATTTAGGAATGTACAGAAATAGATTGTCATTTGATATATTACAAAATTGCTGTATAATATAAATATCTCATTAGAACTGTAGTCACATAACTGAGTATAAACTTATTTTGATAAAAGCTTCAAGAAAAAACACAATTCATTCTTTTAAAAATGATTAGTTGATTTGATTTAAAAAAGAGAGAGAGCAAATAGCACCAGAACCATCCAGTGACGTGGTTCATCTGAGCTGTGAAGGAAAAAGGGACTCCAGTTAGACTTTTGGAAATCACAGAATTTAAATCAATAGGAAGTCTTTTTAATTGACCATTTCTATTCAGTATAATAATTTGTGTGGAAATAAAAAAAATGGTCAAATCTGGACCCATGAACAATATTTAGAAGGTTTTGTGTCCAAATAATCTCTATCTTTCTGTAATTCCATCATAAAATATTTTCAAATTATTTTAACTCATTATCATATACTGAGACTCACAGTGATGTAGGCGATGTCGCTGTCCAAACCCACACCTCCATAATTCTGCCCAGAGTTATGCTAAAACAATAAGGAGTTCTGTTTAATATTTATACAGTTTGGACACATTTTGGTTTGTAAAGTGCATTTAGTTTCACTGTAAACTCAGACGTCACCAAACCAACACCAGAAGAAGTGTACTGAGAAATCCCAAAGGCAGCGAAAACAAAGATTAAAACAAATAAAGGACCATAGCAGTAACATAAAACCGAATTATTCTGTTGCTCAGTCCAGATCTGAGCTAGGTTGACTTCTAATTACATTCTACAGAGGACAGAGGTTCTCAAACCTTTATCTCCACTAATATACCGGTGACCCCCACATCCTTCTCTCACCTGACAAACTACTCTATAAGGTGCTCAACAGTGACTACCCACAGCTGGTTGCAGAAGTACATTTCCCATTCATTTTTCTTACAGACTTTCGGGGGAAAAAAAATTTGAAAGCTCAGGGCTAATGAGCTCTGTCTACCTATAAGATTGTAAGTTTCAGAAATGTATAAACCATTGTGTTATTAAAGCATTTCACAAAATCTTGCATTTTAAACATACTTTTTAGATTTCAAACAAACATGTTATGGATGTTAGTTAACACGTAGCTGGTTAGCCTCCTTTTTCTATGGGGGAAATGTATGGAAAATTTACTTACAAAACCAGAGTGGACTTCAAAGTGAGTGGGACTTTTGAGCTCAATAAGGAAAACTCTATGGGCCCGATCTTGCTCCTAATCTTAGCACTAGCACAAGCATTAAGGAGTGGGCGTGTCCAGGTGGGGCTGAACGTCACTGCTGGAGGCTGGAGTGGGACGGTACAAGTACATATATTTTGATGGCATTTGAACCAAACTGTGACCACAGTGGCATTTAAAGCCATTGCCAGGGTGGGTAATGTCTGCAATCTTTGCCTCATTACATGCAGCAAAGAGCTCCGGAGCCCCACAATGCAAGTATGCATCAGAAGAGGCACCAGGAATATAGAATTTTGTATGGGCAATGACAGAACTGACTGGGTTTGTATTACGAACACTCCACGCGCATGTGCGCCACTCTCATGCACGCACACCACTGTAAGCCCGTGAATGCGCGCACACATTAACCTTTTATAGTTTTCTCTGTTCGTTTTTCTCCCATTACGCAACAGACAAGTGTCTATCTCTTGCCCTTCCCATCCCACAGCAGACCCGCTGCTTTCTCGCACCTGCTCCCGCCTAAGCCGCTCTTGTGCTTCTCACGTGAGGTACGAGTGTCCACCTCTGCTATCGCTAACCGCTCACATTCTCGTCTCACGGGTGTCCACAACATTTGGTCCCACACAGGTGGATATCTCGTGGATTATGGAATACGTTTACTGTCATAAATATTTCTGATGTTACCGCTTTGCGCACAGACATGATACGTGTGTCTGTCACAGCCCCGAGCTGTTAGTGAATGCGTGCGCTGTTTCCACTTTGGGGACCCACTGTGGATCCTTGGGAACTTAAGGCTGGGAATCCCTGTTCTAAGTAATATTGAACTAAAAATTTAGAACTCACACTTTTCCAATACTTTCAGAAGATTTGAGTCTGGTCACCAGTAGATGTCCCCGAATTCAGATGGATGTGATTGTGGATTAGCACAGTCGTCCGTATCAAAACAAATATAGCTGCTTATGAAAAAAAGGAAAGGACAAAAATATCAGGAGTGAAAAACATGCTGTATTTCTGTAGAATTAATCAGCAAAGCACTAAAAGTGCGTTAATCTGAGGTGAGAAAAATGCCATTTTGTTTGTAAATGATGGTTGACCATTAACCCCATTCATGTTACATGTGTAACTGAAATAAACAAATCTGATTGGACGATCATGTTTGGTTCTGGCTCAAGACACAACGGAGGGCTTGGGGACCAGATCAGTATCCTTCTGTATAAAAATACAGAGGGATGTCAGTCTGGATTTCCTAGGCAACACCAGGAATACAATAGCAAACTCATTCCACTACACTCATGTCCACTCCATAGTACTACACCACAGAGCAGCCCCTGGCTGAGGGTACTGACACTCACTGGATGTGTTTAATTTCCTCATGGCTGACGCTGTGCAGAGCACTGGAGCTACATGATGTGGAATCAGCTCGTAAGACAAGAAGACAAACCAGGCCCAACATAGACTGCTCCCCAAACCATAGACTGTATATATAAATGGACACAACTAAGTTGCTAGCCTCTGCGTTCCAAATAGGAAGTGAGCACGGGCGAGATTCGGCTCCACTGACTCTGGCTCCAATTCACTTTCAACTGAAAAACTATCACTTGTCCCTATGTAACTCCTGCTGTCAGGCTCAACATTTAGTTCTTAAAATGTTTGTTTTAACCTGCTCTACATTATCCTGGGATTATTATTTTGTGTTATTGTCCCAGACAACTCAAGGCGACAACTTCTGTTGTCCCTGACAACTTTGCCCGAGGTTGTTCCCGCTAGCATTAAAACAGGTTTAAATGATGGTGTTGCTAAACTAGGAAGGGGTGTTACCTTTAACAGCTGATTGGCCCTTTGGTTGCTATGACACCTGCAGTCGGAATTCCAAATATGCAACTCGGCTTCAAATTTGCTCCTATAACTGCAAGGCTCAATGAGTTTTATTTGGATGGAGCCAAATGCTACAGGTGATGCCACTTAGTCCAATTCTTTATACAGTCTATGCCCAAAACCAGCAGAAGGAAAACTGAACCATTACAGATCTCAAAGCTCTCAGGAAAGTCCTAGTCCAGTTATGGTCCGGATCTAGTCCGACTCTGGTCCAGATTCAGGTCCAGACTCGTACTGGTCTCGGTTCTCTCCGTTTACCCGCGTGTACTGGACCTCAGAGCGCAGAGTCGAGGAGGAGCAGGGCCACGAGACGAGATGAGAAGAAAACAACTGCTCGATGTCCTCCAACTGAAGACCACGAGTCTCTGGAAGACAGACCAGGACGAAGACCAGAGCCAGGACTACGAGCCCCGCGTACAGGAAGAATGCACCTGTGAAGAGAGAGCATTTTGTTGTTGTGTCCTTAAGCAAGACACTTTACTCACATCCCAGTATGGATATGGAGTGTGTGTGAGTGTTGGTTGTGGGAGGGGATGATAGCGCAGACTGGCAGCCTCACTTCTGCCAGTCTGCTCCAGAGCAGGTTCATCCATGTGCAGAGTGGTTGAAGAATACACTGTAAAGGAAGTGAGCATCCAAAAAAGGAGTACAATCTGGAGCTGGTTCATACCATAAAAAGTAAGGTACTCTGAAGTGGGTTCTAGGACTGCAAGTCCGCAGTTAAACTAAAAATGCAATATGAATGGATGCAAATAGTACTTTCTCCACAAACAACAAAATATCCTGTCTTATTCTGCATTCTGTGATTTGCTATCTGAGTCCATTCAAATTGCAATTCTGATTTGAGGTCCTCTAGTTTGGTTCTGGTCTGGTTCTTACCATAATATGTGAGGTACTGGGCTACATGCAGGAAGCTGAGGGACACCAGGACGTTGAAGGTCCAGTTGACTCCAGCAGAGGCAGCGTTCCCAGTACTCCTTGCCCAAAGAGGGAAAATCTCTGAGTTTATGGTCCATGGCATTGGACCCATACCTAAAGGACAACATTACACAATTATTAGAACTATTATTGCACATGTTTATTACACTATGGAGCTTTCATCACTGCTCTCTGGCAGTTATCTGGGAGTCATAGAACTGTAGTTACATTCTTAACTTAAATTTCTATACAAAACATGTATATTTAAATTAGTTTAAAATATTAGATTAGATTAGAATTATATTTAGATTAGTATTTAGTTAGATTTGACCTGGAGCGAAGAAGGCGAGATATGACACCAGTCCCACAACGATGATCCAGGAGAAGGAAGATGGACAGAAGTTATAAGCCCAGACCAGACCAGGGTCCAGAGTCTGGTTCATGCAACTGACAAAGCAGTACAGAGAAAATACAGTTTAACGTGGAGATTTACAGACATCTGACAGAGATGACATTCGGATGCCTTCCCAATGTGACAGATTGTCTTAGATTCCCTCTGTGTGCTTCAGATGCCCTCCCTGTGTGTCAGCTCTCTGCATTTTCCCACTGCAGAATGGGCCTTATTGTGAAAAGGTGACTGACATTGATTCTAAACAAATGGCAGGCTGTCCAGTCTAAAGTTATATTTAAGAATAGTTTTTACTCATTTGGGTTTTGGATTTTGGCACAGGACTTACCAATTGAGGCCTAATCAACTTACTCTATAGGCCAGTGATTAGGGCACTTTGCCTAAAATGCAGCAGAATACAGGTATCTTGTTCAACGGGGGAGAGGAGAAAAAATGAAGAAGATGCTGCTGGTGCTGAGGTTGAGGTGCTGTCCCACATTTGGTTGGTTTCCCTCTGGTCACCCTCCCCATGTGTCAGAATGCCTCAGATGCCCTCCCTTTCTCACCATCCCTGTGCTGCGTGGTCGGTGGACTCCTGATTCACTGCGACACACGATGAGTCCATCACTGAGCTCTGGTTTTCTTTGTAACAGAATCCACAGCCTGGGTCCAGCATGCAGCCTTCACACAAACTACAGAGAATACATTTAAATTAGTGCTGTCAATCAATTATAAAAAATTACACTTTTGGAATCAGATTAATTACAACTCTGACAACCCTGGGACACACACTTTTGCTCCCCGCATTACGCCACTCCCTTTTCAGAGTGATATCACAACAGAGTCAGCGAACATCCTGCTAATATTATTGATAGCATTTATATAGCGCCTTTCAAGATACCCAAAGCGCTTTACAGTTCATTATTCAGTCACTCCACACTCAGTGGTGGTAAGCTACTACTGTAGCCACAGCTGCCCTGGGGCAGACTGACGGAAGAGAGGCTGCCAATCTGCGCCATCGGCCCCTCCGACCACCACCATCACTCATGCACACACCTCTTTCATACTAGTCAATGTGGGTGAAGTGTCTTGCCTAAGGACACAATGCCAGTGGCGCCCCACTGTGGCACCTGGAATTCCTAGCGGTCTCCCATCCAAGTACTACCCAGGCCCAGAATGCTTAGCTTCTGAGATCTGACGGGATCAGGCTTTTACAAGTCGGTATGGCTAATAAAACTACTGCACATCACATCAGCTTTATTAAACTGCTGTGTACAGTTTTGTATCGTGCCTTCATATATTTATGGCGAATTGCCGTGTGGGAGCATGTGTTGAGCTTTAGACACAAACTTACAGCTAAACAAACACACATGCATGGATTATATCTAAAACCTCTAGAGGCAAGTTTTAGATGAGGGAACAGTATTATAACAAGATTGAAAGCTCCAAAAATTATTTTACATAATACCACTCTAAAACTAAAATTATATAGCATTCTGTCACAAATCTAAATAAATGGTTTCAAAGCCCAACTGGCTATATTTTGAGTCTAGACACTGTATGGCTACATGTCTGTGTGGCCACATGTTTCAGGTAAATATACATGACCTAACAGGTTTATTTGGCTCAAGACCCTTCATTATTGCTTGCGGATATTAACTATTTCTTATGATGACATGCTTCCAGTTTCGACTCCCAGGCCTTTCTGTATAGAGTTTGCATGTTCTCCCTTTGTCTGAGTAGGCCTGTCACGATAATTATTATATTGATTTATTCCTGAATACATGTTAGATGACACAATACTTTTTGGGGGTAATATTTATTGTGGGTACTTTTTCTTTTTACTAGTGATGGACTTTTTGTTATTTGTCTGTACTACGGATTTGAGCTGGCAAGGATTGAATAAATAACTCCTGTGACTCATCGTAGATACGAAATAAGTATTTATTTATTTATTGCAGTTTGTGTTTTTTAACCATTTCTTACATTTAATCTATTTGGGGGAAATAATCCTTCTATAATTCTGCTTTAGGGTTACTGTGTCAGTGGTATCAATTAATTTCAAAATGATCATTTATCATCTACAATTTCTTCAGCAAAATTTCCTCTGAGTACTCTGGTTTCTCCCATCAACCCAAAACATGCACAATAGGTCAAATCCTCCTGACCAAGAATACTGTAGCTCAAGATCTGGAGATGTGTGCCACTGCTCCTGACAGAGACACTGAAGGATGGGTCAAATGGAGAGGACACATTTCCCTATGGGACGGTCAATGTTCTCTAGTAGTTTGGTGAAAACTAAGACTAAAACAGGAATAAATCTAAAGCGGGTCTAAAACATAATTAAACCATAGCTGTATCAGGTTTAAACCAGGTCTAAACCCAAGCCTCAGCCAGGGCTGTTCTTACCTGTACTTGCTGCAGACGGTAGAGGTATTGTTAATGTGCTGTGTAACAGGAGGAGAGGTCAGAGCCGAGAGGAGAAATCCTGAGGCCAGAATCAGCAGACTCATACAAGTACCTAAAAAAGAGAGGAAACAAAGAAAATAAGGATTGGCGAATATGCATTTTTAGTGCATAGCATCATCATAATTATGGTTGTACAAATCTGATGCAAGGAGGACAAACTGTAATGACAAATGAAGACACACAGTCTGGGATAAAGCAGAAAAAATATCAGTGCCAAATATCAGCTAAATATTCAGGATTAGGCCAGTGCGATATCTGGGAAAATCCTCTGATATCACCGATTCCAGGCAAAGCAATAACATTTTCAGAGAAAGGGGGTCAGGTTAGGGTTTTTCTAAAGCAGGGCTATTTAAATAAAATTTCCTGAAGGACATATTTTAGCCGTTTCTGACACAAATTTGTGCACCAAATAGCTGGAATTGCGCCTCAACCAATGGGTCAGTTATTAACAATTACCAATCAGACTGCCGATGGTGAGCCTTCTCCTTCCGACACGCTCCACAAGCCACACTCCCACCAGCGTAAAGAGAAAGTTAGTGGCTGATGTCATTGCGGAGAGCCAGATAGCTGTTTGGATGTCACGCACTCCTGACATCTGCAAGATGGTGGCGCTGTAGTACCTACAGTAACACACAGGAGGGGATGAAAATGTGAAGACCAAAAATTAAACCAGGATTGAATCAGGCGTAAACCACGTCTAAACTACATCTAAACTAAGACCCAACCAGGACTAAACCAAGGTCTACACTGGATCTAATCCAACACCAAACCAAAGCTAAACAAGGTCTAAATCAAGTCTGAACCAGTAACTAAACCCGGTCTAAATCAGGAGTAAACTAGGACTAAATCAAGGTCTACAACAGGACTAAAACAGGCCTGAACCAGGACTCACATGACAGTGTTGATGCCTGACAGCTGCTGGAACATCTGGAGTCCACAGCCCACAATCAGAGCACGTCGAGTCGGAGCATGATGCAGGATTCTGAGGATCACTGCTCCCCCTACAGGACAGAAGAGCAGAAGAGAAGGTCAGAGGAGCAGAGGATGCAGACACAATGGTCCGATGGAACAGAGGATGCAGAGGAGCTGGTCAGATGAGCAGAGGAACAGAGGATACACCTTCTCCTGTCTCTCTTCGTTCCTCCTCTATGCTGATTCGGATTGACTCAAACTCTTCCTCTACGTCATCTCCTCCTCTGATCTTTGTGAGAACTCGAAGAGCCTCTGGACTCCGCCCCTTTTGCAGGAGCCATCTTGGACTCTCTGGTAAAAACAGGAAACCCACGAACTGGAGCAGAGCCGGGACCACGGACAGACCCAACATATATCTGAAGAGAAAGACCAGGTCAGGCTAAACCAGGATGGAAGTCCTGAGCCAGGACTAAAGTAAGACTAAAGGAGGGATACAGAAGAATGAAAGCATCTGACACAGTGATACAGGAGGCTGGAAGGGCATCTGGCTTACCTCCATCCATCCAGGACGTAGCTGAATGATCCATCAATGACGGAGGCAACAAACTGCCCCCCAGTGATGAAGAGTGTGTTGATGGTGACGAGCTGCCCCCGAAGGAGTGGAGGAGATACTTCAGCAATGTACACAGGGACCGTCATAGAGGCAAGACCTGCAGAGAACCAGGACTGAATGAAGACTGAAAGAGGGCTGAACCAGGGCTGAACCAAGACTGAACCTGGATTAAATCAGGACTAAATAAGGACTAATCCAGGTCTTACCAATGCCCAGTCCGACAACGATCCTTCCCAGGAGCAACACCTCTTTGTTGGGTGCAAGACTCAGCACAAATCCCCCAATGCTGAAGATGAAACTGGCCAGAAGAATGCACAGTCTCCGGCCCATCCACCCATTCAGAGCCCCTCCGAGCAGAGCTGAAATGGCCGCCGCGCCCACCGTACTCGACACTAACAACTCTTGCCACAGTGCACTCAGATTCCACTCCTGTTTGAGCAAAAGCATGGCCCCACTCACAACACCGGTGTCATAACCAAAGAGAAACCCCCCCAAAGCAGAGAAGACTGACAGGGTAAAGACAAATGCATTATGGGATGAAGGTTTGGAGAAAGGAGCAGAAGAGGCAACAGGAGCAGAGCCAGAGGAGTCGGCAAGAGCAGAGCCAGATGAGTCCACAGGAGCGGAGCCAGAGGAGTCGACAGGAGCAGAAGTGGCAGGTGGTATAATGAGACTCCGCTCTCCATCGTGTGGGCTGGATGTATGTTGCAGGTCACTCATCTGAGAAAGGTTAAAGTCATGCCTGAAAGATAAAAACATGCACATTAATCTAATCTTCCAGCTGTGCTGTCCATCGTGGATACTCCCGCTCACCCACTGCACTAGACTATAGAGGGACAGATAATACTCCCTACAGCTATACAAATACTCACTCACTGCACCAGACTATAGAGGGACAGAGGAGCTCATACTCCAACAAGCTCTTACAGCTCCGCTTAAACAGTGAGATACAGGACTACGTTCATACCGTACTCCAAAAAGCCGTACAACAACTCAGTCTTATACTCAGCATTATAACAGATAAATCCCATCAATCAACATATCATTGCTGCACAGTCTTCCTATGACCTCTTGTATATAGCTGAGATTATATTTTTTTATTACTTATTTTTATATTTTATTTTGACTTGTACATTTACATTTATGTAATTTTGCCTTATTTGACTCCTGTCTCTTGCTATCTTTTTTGCTACTTACTTAGAATTTATTATTACCACTTATATTTTTTACTCTTTGTTATTATATTATATTGTGATGAGTGAGTTATTGTGTCCAAATGATTTCCCTTGTGGATCAATAAAGTCTAAGTCTAAGTCTATGATCTCCTGACCAGGATCCTGACTCAGACCAGGTCCTGCTCCTGACAGATTTGGGGTAAATGCAGAGGACACATCTCACAACAAGGATCAATAAAGTATATCTTACAGTAGGGGTGGGCAATAGTCACAATTATTCCAACAACATAATATTGTAACAAAACACCAGGAATGTGTTAAAATGTGCCTGTAAATATCTTGGTTGAGGTTGAAGTATTAAACAAAAAGGGAATGAACCATAAAATTTACCAAAAAACTTCAGAAATATCACTTTATATCACACTTGACTCTTCTGTCTCTTTTTATTTATTTTGGGAAAATATACTCTTCGAATTATGCATATCTCCAAAACAACAATTGAGGTCGGAATTACGATATATATCTTAAAATTATGCATAAAATTTTTTAAACCAGGACTAAACAAGGACTAAAAGGAGGACTAAATCAAGACTAGACCAGGGCTAAACTTCACGTGTCTCCAAGGACATTTAATCAATAAAATACAAAATAAAGACCTTTACCAAATGAATACTGCTAACGTTCTGAAACCATTACCTGTTCATGAGGAGTAAGATTTACGGAAAAGAATCATTAAAATTGACTCCAAAACACAAACTAGCAACTTTCCATTTCATCTTAACACTTTTCCCTGGGTCTAAAAGAAAAAAAAAACGGCTACAAGTAAAATAAACAGGCTCAAAACTTAACATCTAATTATTAGTCTTGTTAAATAAAACTGTGGAGTCAATATTTGCTCTAAACCCGGTTTTCTAAGTCTTAAACCGCCCCTCGCCCTCTCCTCTATTTTGGTTCGGCTTCAGATGCGCGCCGCCATTTTGGTGTGACATCATCACAACAGACACGTCACAGCTAATTTTGAGGATTTTAAAAATAATTTATTTTACATATTTTTAACTATTTACTATTTTATAAATCAGAGACAATGCGTTTAGTGTTTACTTTTTTAAAAATCCAGTAGTTTTGGTTTTGTTTTGATATCAAATTTAATTGGTTATTATTCACATAATGGCCTAAAGAACTTTCTTAAATTGGATTACAAGTGCAAAAAAATATAGTTTATTTATGGTTTGGATTCACAATTTTTACATTAGCATTTATACCTTTTGAGCAACAGTCATTAAAATACATCTTATTCTTAATCGTTTAATCGTTGTTGTTTTTTTTTTTTTTTTTTTTTGTTTTGTTTTTTTATATATATAGTTTTCTCAGCCAAGCAAAGTGATGGTAACTGAACATTTAGGTTTGGACTTCAATTTTTAATAATAAAAAAAACAAAAAAAGGTCAAACCTTACAACAGACTGTATAAAGAGAATTAATTAACTGATTTAACAAATTTTTTACAGTTGCTGAAAAATACGTTCTCATCAAACGCCCGCTCTCAATGAACCTTATGTCAATTCTATTTAAGTTTATTTTACAGTCTTTAAACTCTGTCAAAAAAGTGGTTCATCCAAAAACGCGCATCAGCAACAAAGAGAAGCTGAGAGCGTGGTCAGCTGATCACATAACGAACTGAAACGAAACTAAAAGAACAAAACTAAAGAAACGTTTTAAGACTATAATTGTATGTATTTCATCTTCGGTAATCATTAATATTACATAAATCGGTTAAATGAAATGTGTTTAGCCATTACCTGTGCAGCAGCGGATCCTCCTTGTCTCATTCAGGAAGAGTTTGATCATATGACATACGGACACGCCTACGAAAATAAAAGGGTTGTTACAATGGATCTAGATCTGTATTGTCTTTGTATTGTATGCAGTGTTGGGAAGGTTACTTTTAAAATGTAATCCCCTACAGATTACATACCCCAAAATGTAGTTTGTAACGTAATCCATTAAATTACTTAAAGTGAGTAACGTAATCTGATTACTTTGGATTACTTGATATTGTCATGTTTTTTTAAACGACATGAATGTAGCAACCACATCCTGAAATTCTTGTTTGTTGTCTTCAAATTGTCTGAGCCCAAGTCTCCATGAATAAGCAACTGTTTGCTGTAGAGAAACAAAGACCATGATATCTTAATATAAGAGGTTTTGTCTGTTAAAAGACAGTAACAAGATAAGCCTTTCCTTAACCAGATTAAAAAATATTATTGATAGAGAAATTATTTTTTATATGAGATCACCTTAAATTATGTCAATCTACTGTTAGGTGTCATGTTGTTTAGACCTGGTTTAGTCCTGGTTTAGTCCTGATTTTTAGACCTGGTTTACTCCTGATTCTAGTTCAGGTCTTTAGTTCTGGTTTAGTCGTGGTTTAGTCCTAGTTTAAACCTGGTTCAGTCCTGCTTTAGTCCTGGTTCAGTCCTGGTTTAGTCCTGGTGTAGTCCTGGGTTAGTCCTGGTGTTAGTTCTGGTTTAGAGGCGCACAGGAGAAAGCGCGGTTTACGCGAGAAAACACGGTCCACTCGCGGCGCACGAGACGGCGGTGTCCGCGCAGTAACTACGGAAGGAGACGTGGTCCGCGGGTTCTCAGGTTAATGACGATGATGAAGGTGTGTGTTTGTGTTTGTGTTTGTGTGCACGTCTACTCATGTCGCAGGTCACTATAGGACAGTAGTGCAGATATTATGAGTCTATGCAGTTTGTTTTCACCAGTGCCAGTAGCTCCTGTTTCACATTTAAGTTGTAGGCGATTTTATATTTGTTTGTTTTTTTATATATATATCTCACATCGGGAGAAGAATTGCCAAGACACAAATGCGTTTTTACCAATGCACTGCTGCTTCCACTGTGTGACTGACACCGCCAACTTTAATATGACGTTTACATCGGTCTTATTGCGCGCGTTCTGTTTGGGTTTCCAGCAATGAGTGGAATTACCGAAATAAAAAAATAAATAAATGCGAGGTAGCACAAAATGTGAAAACAGGAAAATACCGCCTTGTAATCCACTTATTTCAGCAAAGTAACTGTAATCCAATTACCACTCATTGAAACAGTAACTGTAACTGAATAGTTACTCATAATTTGTACTCTGATTACGTAACGGCGGTACATGTAATCCGTTACTCCCCAACACTGATTGTATGTTTTAAAAGCACAGTCCAGGCCCTATTTGAGCAGTTTAGCTTAAAAAATATTCTTTTTTAAATTAAGTATGGGTTTTGTTCTTTAATCAAGCCCATAATTATTCATCTTCATCTTATTATGAACTAAGTTTAGTTTTTATACAGTTATAAGCATTTTCTAAAAACATACATTCTTGCTCTGAGCAGGGTTTGCTCTCCACAGATCTGACCTGGTAGCCTACACATCTTATCATTGCTACTTCTTGCAAATGACATCTTTTTATGTATTATTTCTTGTATTTGTTGTGGTTGTTGGTGACTGGTGGAGGAGATGTCGTGGCCCTACTCTGATCGTGATACATTGAGTAGTAGTAGGCAAAGGAACCTGCAAACAATAAGCACTATTTTACATGTTGATTTGATTAAAAAGTTTGACACTGAAGTACACCAGTACCTGAGAGCTTTTATTGTAGATTTTGAAATCAAAAACACTGGATGTTTCTCATTGTTCTCCTTTATTAACATTTCCTGGAGTACTGTAAATAAGTGTAAATAAGTGTCCATGCCTGTATAATCAGTATACCCACCTAGATTGTCTATGTGAACCCATGGCCTGCCTCTGTGGGGTAGTCTGTCTGCTGGCCTCTGGTCCACTCCACAGTACAGGTACTGTCCACTGGAGGGGGCACTGTTTTATTTCTCTCTTTTTTCTCTCTCTCTCTTTTTAAATTTTTTTTTTAGTTTTTTTTTTTTTTTTTTACAAAAATTATAGGCCTACAGCTCGGTTCTCAGTGACACACCATAAATTGACATTACATCTTTACCCACCACGCTAGTCTATGAACACAGTAACCTATGCCTAATCTAATTTATTTGTTATAGACCTGCCATTAAAATAGACCTGTCACTAATGTTAAAATATGCCCAATTAAAGTAGCCTACTTGGCTTGGTGTATAATATATCCAGATATTTAATGCCATAGCCTTTAGAACCTTTAGAACATTTCATATGCTTTACTAAAAGTGAAACCCAATTAGTATTTTAAACACAAGAGTCTCTCAGTGGTTAAAATTGTTTATTCAGGACAAGTTACATTAAAAAGTTTGTTATGAACCTTTGAAATCTCCAGTCCTGGTTGTTGTACTATAAAAAAAAAAAAAAAAGTACTTCAATGTAAAGACCATCATTTGAGATAAGGCTCCACTTTTGTCCATATTCAACACTGTTCAGTGCTGTTTTGGTTTAGAGCAAGGTTAGTCCTGAGGTCTGAGTTTGATACCAGTGCAACCCACATTATTGAGTCCTGGGTTAGTTTAAGTTTAGTTCTGGTTTGGTCCTGGTGTAGATCTGGTTTAGGACTGGTGCAGTCCTGGTTTATAATTCTGATTCAGTCCTGGTATAGACCTCCTGGTTCAGTCCTGGTTTAGACCTGGCTTGGTCCTAATTCAATCCTGGGTCAGTCCTGGTTTAATCCTGGTTTAGTCCTGTTTCAGTTATGGTCAATACCTGGACCTGGCCCGGTCTGGGTCTAGCACTTGTAGAGACGGTTGACCCTCAGGATGTCGTTTTGGCTCATCTGGGTGGCCTGTCCGAAGCTCACGTTGGCGTTTGGAATGGGCTGCATAGTGGGCTGGTTATTCCCACTGAATGCATATCTGCAACAGATAAAATGTCTAAAACTGCATATACATACACCACACACATCACAACTTATATTTCATCATGATTCATGTTTTATTTTTTCACTTTCTTTTATACAGTATTTAAGAGGTAAATAAATCTCTTGATCTACTCTAATTTAGTAAAGATATCAGATTTAAGCCTTCTGCAGCCCTAAAGTAAAAGGCGTTGACTGAGCTGGACGACAGATCAGAATTCTATGGTGGAATTTGCTGTGTAGCTGTCAGATTGCAAATTTGTTGATCTGGTTTTTGGTTCATATCTCTGTAATTACTGGACCTATCCACATGAAACAAAAACTGGCACAAAGTTCAACGCCTCTGTCAGTGTAAATAAACAAAATTAAAATGATTTTTTTTCACAATAGCTTCAGAAAGTAGTGCCATTTTCAACCCCGAATACCTCAGATTTGACTATTTTCAGTATAAAGGCACTTACCCACATCCTTATTAGCTTTCCACAGCAGCTCAGCGACAGACAGCTCCTAAGAAAAAAAGAAACAAGCCCAGATTCTGTTTTTATATTTTTTTTAATCAATGATTAGGTTGGGTCATCAGGTTTGGAGAGGTCTACAGCCAATCCTCTGTCAGTAAAATCATATGGTTTGGAACAGACACAAGACTGATGGAGGAAGACTTGTGATTATTTTTTGTGTTAAGTTGCACCGATTAAAAATGTGTATTGTTTAGGTTCATTAAACTAACACTAAAAGCTGTTTTTGATAAAAGAAATAAAGCCCTACATGTCAGAGGGAAATTAGAAAGTCTGCCGAACATTTCTGAAATTCTGTTAAGTAAGCACTGTTTTAAAAACATAACTCAAATTAAAATTTAACCAAGACCATGCAAAATTAGGATTAAATTGAGAAGATCTTGACAAAAACAAAAGTTCTTGAAATTTGAAACACAACCTGTATATTTTGTTTTCTGTTATGTGTCAAATTTTATATTAAGATAATTGTCTGTAACTATTTTCAATGTTTAAAAAGGGTGTATCAAGTTAAATCTGTAACTATACCTTAGACTTTAAGGTAGCACAAAGAAAGACTTAATTCATAATGAACAAATATCTTACTAAGAATAATTCAGGCTTAATTTACTTAATCCCAACTGCAACCCCAACTCACTCCTAAACATAACCTCTTAATAATTAAGTACTTACTAAATTATTAAGTCTGACTCATTCTTAAGAAACTATTTGTTCATTGTGAATTTATTGAGTATTTTTTATGCTTTATTGGACTGTTAGTGTAATTATTATAAAGTGTTAAGTCTAATTAACGTAATCAAAACATTTATTATGATTGTTGTATCAGAATCGGTATTAACTATCAAGTCTATTCCTTAGTATCAAAAATGAGTTTGAAATTGTAATATCTTGGCAAGATTAATTCAGTCCTCCATACTTATTTAGTTATGTTTTTTTTTTTTCACTCACCTCTGCATCTTCTTCAGCCCAGGAGCCAACAGTGAAGAGCAGCAACAGACACACACACCTGAGGGCGGCCATTTTGGATCCAGTTGCACAGCATTGCTCCTCTTCTCTTTATTTATTTATTTATTTTTTTTTTTGTTTGAACTTGTTTAATCAGTTTGGTAAAAAAAACTGGACACTGCTTAGGAACATGCTCATTAAAACGAACAGTTGAGCTTTATTTGCAGACAAACATGTTTTAATATTCTTCTCCCTCCTCTTCTTCAGTTTGGTAAAAAACTGGACACTGCTTAGGAACATGCTCATTAAAACGAACAGTTGAGCTTTATTTGCAGACAAACATGTTTCAATATTCTTCTCCCTCCTCTTCTTCAGTTTGGTAAAAAAACTGGACACTGCTTAGGAACATGCTCATTAAAACGAACAGTTGAGCTTTATTTGCAGACAAACATGTTTTAATATTCTTCTCCCTCCTCTTCTCCATCGACGCTGTCCAAACCCACCTCTTCATAATCCTTCTCCAGAGCAGCCATGTCCTCTCTGGCCTCGGAGAACTCTCCCTCCTCCATGCCCTCGCCCACGTACCAGTGCACGAAGGCCCTCTTGGCGTACATCAGGTCAAACTTGTGGTCCAGTCGAGCCCAGGCCTCAGCGATGGCTGTGGTGTTGCTCAACATGCAGACCGCACGCTGCACTTTGGCCAGGTCTCCTCCTGGCACCACTGTGGGCGGCTGGTAGTTGATCCCAACTTTGAAGCCTGTGGGGCACCAGTCCACGAACTGGATGCTGCGTTTGGTTTTGATGGTGGCAATGGCAGAGTTGACATCTTTGGGAACAACATCTCCACGATACAAAAGACAGCAGGCCATATATTTACCATGACGGGGATCACACTTGACCATCTGATTGGCTGGTTCAAAGCATGCGTTTGTGATGTTAGCGACAGTCAGCTGCTCGTGGTAGGCCTTCTCTGCAGAGATGACTGGAGCGTAGGTGGCTAGAGGGAAGTGGATGCGAGGGTAGGGCACCAAGTTGGTCTGAAACTCTGTCAGATCGACGTTCAGAGCTCCGTCGAAGCGCAGAGAGGCAGTGATGGAGGACACGATCTGCCCGATCAACCTGTTGAGGTTGGTGAAAGTGGGACGCTCGATGTCCAGGTTTCTGCGGCAGATGTCGTAGATGGCCTCGTTGTCCACCATGAAGGTGCAGTCGGAGTGCTCCAGAGTGGCGTGGGTGGTCAGGATGGAGTTGTAGGGCTCCACCACAGCAGTGGACACCTGGCAGAACAATGGATTGGTTAGGAAGAACTGACATCAGAAGTATCTAGTTATGCATTTTCTTCAGATCAAATTTGGTCCTACAACTTTAAAATTAAGATTTTCCTTCAAGGCTTCTCACCTGTGGAGCTGGATAAACCGCAAACTCCAGTTTGGACTTTTTGCCGTAGTCGACTGAGAGACGCTCCATCAGCAGAGACGTGAAGCCAGAACCGGTGCCTCCTCCAAATGAGTGGAAGATCAGGAAGCCCTGCAGCCCTGTGCACTGGTCAGCCTGCGGAAAGAGGAAGTTCAAGTTAATGAAAGCACTTAATGTTTTAATACAGAAGGTTTGACTCATACTCACGAGTTTGCGAGTTCTGTCAAGAACGACATCAATAATCTCTTTGCCGACTGTGTAGTGCCCGCGGGCGTAGTTATTGGCAGCGTCCTCTTTCCCAGAGATCAGCTGGTCAGGGTGGAATAGCTGTCGGTGCGTCCCACTGCGCACCTCATCTGAGAGCAAACATTAAATCAATCATTAAATTACCAGTTCATATATATTTATCTTTGCGTACATGTTAGTTGTGTAATTTACCTATGAGGGTTGGCTCCAGGTCGACAAAGACGGCTCTGGGCACATATTTCCCGGCTCCTGTCTCACTGAAAAATGTGTTGAAAGAATCGTCTCCTCCTCCAAGCGTTTTGCCACTGGCCATCTGACCGTCAGGCTGGATCCCGTGCTCCAGGCAATACAACTCCCAGCATGCATTGCCCATCCGGACTCCGGCCTGGCCGACATGCATTGAAATACACTCACGCTGTAAAAGAAAGGGGCAAAGGTTAAAGTCTCATTCAAAACATTTTATTGCATCTGAAAAGTGAAAGCACCACTGGGCATGTGTCAGCTTCTTCTGGAGAGGCCTGAAAAGAGCCTTAAAAGAGAGTCCAGAAGGATTAAAGGTGTTCAGAAACATGTCTCTTTTATTAGGCTCACACAGGTACAGATCTCTTGATTCAAGTTGATTCACACAGCATCTCTCCACGTCACCCCTCCTAGTACAAGAAGAGCTGACAGCTTTATACTGACCATCTCGTCACAATATTGACAAACTGTAACTGGTATTTACAGGAAATTCACAGAAATGTTGACCTAGACAGTGTAAACACAGATAGTCATATGTTAAAGAGTTCAGACACTCCCCCTTTATGTCTCATATACATCAAAAAGTCCATCATAACATGTCCCCAACTCATTGACATTTTAAAGTTCAGACACTGACTTCTCTTTATGACACATGTACAAGAACATTAAACCCCTTCCACATTGCATGGTGAATTAACATGAATGAAAAACTAAAAATACAGAAATTAATTCCCACAAACTCCCTCTCTTGATCACACTTACACGTGTGATCATAAAAGAAAGTTTAAAGAGACATGTCACCTCCTCATATGAGTAAATACCAATAAAAATATCTTAGCTCTCTTTATTACAACACATCTCAGGTTTTACTAACATAATACACTTGAACAACAATGCATGATCAAAACATGGCTCTCGGACAGCAGAATAAGAGGCAAGGAGCACCTTTAAATTTAGTTTTATCTATATTTAAGTCAAACGTTAAATCTGTAGGGTTTTAATCAAACCCAGTCATCAGGTTTGGGATGTCAGAATTGAAAATCAGCAAATAGTAATAAAATCTAAGAAATAAGTGCATCTGTCAGTATTTTCATTCAAATTTTGTCCTGTTTCAATTTCAGTAGTTTTAGTTGAAACATTAAATCACTCTCTTGAGTGGGCTTATCAGTTTAAAATTGTCATTTGTATATAGCCTTCAAAATGTAACTTTATTTTCCATTGCATGGTATAGAAGTAGTATAACTTTGGCAATCCCAATTGCATAATAATTTCTTTTATCAAACAAATGTCTCTACTTGAATAATATACTACAAAATTTACAAATTTAGGCATTTCTCTTTTGTACTTTTTGTTAATTTCAGTGCTCATTGTCTTTTACCCATTGTTGGTTGCCAATTCAGTTGTATGATAAGCTTGTCATTTTGATTGTCGGCTGCCATTTTTGTCCAGCTGTCCGAGGCCAGTAGTTTTATGGATAGAAACTATAACAGAACAGACAAAACAGACAGAAATTAGCATAATCAAAAATAAACATTGGGAATAAAAATTGAAATTTTTCAAAAAGCATATGGCCTATACTCTCCTTCTATGTTTTTCTCCCCCTCTTCTCCTCCCTCTCTTCTGAAGCCCCAGTGGCAGAAGGTGGTCAGAGTTGTCCCTCAGGGTCTCTTTTTTTCCAGCGACGTCTAGACGTGGTCGACTTTTCTCCATCTTCATCAGTAGAATGAAACATGAGTGACATGCCAGTCACTGCCTCAGTTGGTTCTCCCATGACATCATGGTGTAGGATGGTAGGATGCTGAAGCCCACTGTCCGTAGAGAAGACATATGAAGTTCACTTTGTACTGGCCTGGGAAGGCTCCACTGCGACCAGGTGTCAAGCGTGGACATAGAACCAGCACAGGCATCTCCAGACGAGGCGCTCAGATGGGCGCTCAGTGCAGTTGTGTCGAATGATACTTCAAAGGCAGAACTGTTGACAGAAGTTGAACATGGACTGCGTCAGCTGGTAACAGAGTCGTCTGCAGACTGGAACCTGCAAACCACGATGTAGATCTCATATCAGTCACAGCACAGCAGTCAGTCACATGCTCCTCCTGAAACAGCCAAATCTTGACAGGTGAGTGGTAACACTGGGAATGTCCCCTGACGCGTGCACTCGTCAGGAGTGTATCCCCAGAGCTCGTAGTAGGAGAGGAACTCTCCAGATCACAGCTGTATAAAGTTGTCGTAGTCCATGGGCAGCAAGACTGGTAGAAGACAAGAACTCTGAGTGGAAGATGATCTCTACCCGGTTGTTGCAGAGACTAGTGCAGCACACTTAGTCAAGATGGGGTTAACAGCATTGTCCAGTATGTCGTAGGTAGTGACCTCAGGCAGGCCACATCTCTGTGTAATGTGAATGTCTCTCCTCGTGATGGTGAAGTCGCCTCAGATGAAGTTCATGTCAGGGATCTGACCTCTTTCAGTGACTCCACGCTGAAGTCGTTGGTTTTAGCGGACATGATGAAAAAGACCACCAGAGTCACATCACTGCAGTGCAGCTTCTGTAGGTAGTTGAGGTGAAACAAAGACTCCAGGAAGATGTCAGCTCCTTTGTTGGAGCTCGTAGCATCTGGTGATAAAGAAAAACAGAGTCTCGTCCAGGTTAAAGTTCAAATGTCTACAGAAGTGTCCTCACGGAAACTTCTAGGTTTGCGTTACTGGTGACGTGGAAGTTCTGTAACTTGTAGATGGCTGAAAACTCCTTGGCATCGAAGCCTATCAGTCTCTTCTTCAAGCGCCTTTTCAGAAAACCATCAATTGATTTAATGTGACAAATGTGGTACATTGGGACATCTCATACTATTTTTGGTAGAGTGGATTACTATTAACTTTATTCTCATTTTACAAATTTTTTTCTCTTTTTTTTTTAAATAGTAGATTGGTATTTTAGAGTGATTATTTCCTTCCTACACTTTATCACTTCTTGTCCTTAGTCCAATTTCTAAACAGAAAATTCAACTTGATGTAATTTGAAATCTCAATTTAGAAGCCAGCATTGCCTTATTACAGTTCTAATTAAGATTATTTATTTAAAATTTAAACAATTTTAGTATTCACATCAAATAACAGTTTATTTCGCAATCATTAATTAATTAGAGCAGGTTTCATAGGAAAATTCATGTCCATAAGATTAATACTGAGATCAAAAAAGGATTAAAATGCAAGTGAAGTCCAGGTTGTGGACAAACTAAACTAGGAAAAAGCAGAAATAAAAACTAAGATAAACCAAAGATAAACTCGGATTAATTCAGAACTAAACCATGATCAACCCAACCAGGTTTAAACTAGTACTAAACCAAGATTAACGCAGCTCTAACTCAGAACTAAACCAAAACCAGATTAGGTCCAAACAGGAACTAAACCAGGACCTATCCAGCTTTAAACCATATTTTAACATAAGATTAAATTTGTATACCAGCATTGAATCAGAACTAAACCAAGATTAGACTGGGACCAATCCCAGAACTAAGATAGAATTTAAAAGGACTGAATCAAGAAAAAAACAGAGCTAACCTGGTCTAAACTAGATGTAGACCATGTTTAACACTTGAAAAAATTAGTAAACCAGGACTAAACCTGAACCAAATCAATACTACACAAAGTCTAAACCAGAACCAGACTAAGATTAGACCAGGTCCTAATCAGATCGAGAACACTGGTTGCTTCTGTTCAACACTACAAAACGTGAATTTATTTTGACGGTAAACATTAAGAGACTACATTTAGACAAATAAATTTCTATTATAAACCATGTCAACTGAAAACTTCTAAAGGCAGTGTTTGTGCTAAGTCTGCAGATTGAGAATACATAAAAATAGGCATATCCTGTAGAGGTGATCTCAGATAATAGCTCCTTAGTTTTTTTATTGAAAATGTTCTAAAAGTGGGAAACTGATTTTATTTGCAGGATGTTTTGTCTCTTAGTGGGATAATTCTCATTTGGAAATGACAGTAATTCAAAGAAATCAAATAGAGATGCATACATAGTTTATTTTCCCTAATCCTTATTTAAATTTTGATATTACAGAGGATGAAGTAAAAAAGGCATTGATAAATCAAAGTTAAAAAAGCCACTGGATTTGATAATCTGTCTAATAAACTGCTGAAACAGCCTGATATGTCCTCAGTACTTTAAAATATTATTGTTTATTACTTATTTTAAGTCTTGTCCTCTCTGACTGGCAAAAAATCTATTATCAAACCAATCCTAAAATTTTCAACTGCAGATCCCCCAGTAACCATGAACTACAGAGGCCTCAGCCTTCTTAATGGTATATAAACCTTATTCTATTGTTCTTAATGAGAGGCTGGTCTGTTATCTAGAATCCTTTCATGTATTGGCCGAGGAGCATAACACATTTAGGAAGAAAAGAGCCTGTATGAATCGCATATAATGTTAGAAAACAAGAGGGAAACCCTACTTTTATTTGTTTTATTGACTTTCAGAAAGCCTTTGACTATGTAAATTGGGACCTGTTTTATTTTCAGCTGCTACATATTGATAATGACGGCAGATTTTATGATTCAATCTAAGCTATCTATAACATTTATTTTAATAAGTATAAACAAAAGGAGCACAATAAAACTTTATGTAAACCAAAATTAAGAACATATATCTTAATTAAAAACTGTTTTGGACCTGAATTGTATGTCACTGTGAACCTGCACCGACTACACAGTGTATGATACTAAAAGTAAACTAATTCTAAAACTAAAACTGTATAAAGGTAATAAGAGAATACTGCAAGAGAGACTTCAACTAATATTGATAACTGTAAACCATGTACGAATTATTTATTTTCAAGAATGTTTTCTCTAATTTGGACTCAAAACAACAACACTTTGGTAGCAAAATCTATCCTAGGGCACACCCATCAATCTCCAATCTGCAAATGTATGTCTACCTGCTATCAATCAACACTCATCCAGCCACACTGTTAAGAAATGAGATGTTGGATTTAATTAAAAATATTCCATCAACTGATTTTACACAAGCCTGTTGTCTAAATCTAAAAGACTTTATCAATTTCATTGTAGCAACAGGTTATTATTCAAAGCAATAGTGTCAATTAAATAAAAGTAAATGTTGCTTTAAGACTACTCAAAGCTTCTCTTTTCCCAATTCATACT